ACCCTATCAGATATGGCAATCGATTGGGGCAATAAGACATTGGGATGGTGGTGGGAGGCCCCCAGAGCATCCTAGGGTGACATGGCTCCCTTTGGAAACTCCCATTAGGGTTCTGGGAATTCCACTCTCGGTCGATGGAAAGCCACCTAGCAATGATAATTGGATAATGCAGCCGGCTCTGCAAAAGATGGGAACCTGGAAGGACAAGAACACGTCTCTGATGGGGAGGGCTCTAGTTATAAATAATGTGGTGTTGGCGTCCATCTGGTATAAGTCTGCAGTCTGGCCTCTGTCTGGGAAGGCGTCCAAGATTCTGAAACAACCAGTGGCAGCCTTCCTTTGGAGACGGAACCATGAAGCCCAACATACCATCAGTCGTGTTGCCTGGGATGCGGTGGTGCAACCAAGGACACACGGAGGTCTGGGCATTCTTGACCCTACCACCCAAACGACAACGCTCTCCCTTTAATGGCTGAAAAAACTTATCTGTACCCCTGGCCTCACTTGGGAACCTCTTGCCTGGGAACAATTGTCGAGGTTGGCCCTAGCAGCTGCACCTTCAACACACCCTATGGCCTGGCTGGATGACGTCTTTTGGACAGTGCCCAGACCCTCATCTAGACCCCGACCACATTCAGATCGGGCAGCAGCCCGCCGAGATTTACGGAAAGACGACTTCTGGGCCAAATTAATAAAGGACCGGAGGAGGCTCCAGCTCCCGGATCGGTCATTCCCCGAACGATGGGAGGAAGTTGCTCGTCAACCACTTTTCGGGAACCGCTGGATAATGGATCGGCATGGGAGGGTTTTTCTCAGCTCAGGTAGCCCATGGAATGGATGGGTGAAAAACGGGATCACAAGAATTGGGCATCTATGGGACCAAGCATCTATGGGACCAATCCAAGAATGATTGGGTCTCAGTGGAGCAGCTGAGAGAGAAGTTCCTTCATTGCCACAGGATAGGGGAAAGATTGGACCAAATCCTCTTTGCTCTCCCTCTCGCATGGATACGGACTCTTCGGCGTGGGCCAACTATAGAGGAGGGAGATTGGGTGGTGCTAAAAGGGGACGCAACCCGAGTGGGACAAGTAATAACAGAAAGACCGGGGGAGGTGCGGGTAAATCTGTTTTACCGTACACAGCAGAATCACTTGATCAGGGGGGTACAAGATGAAGTCTTCTGGATTGATGTCAATAGCCTCCATAGACTAAGAGTCTTAAGTATAAATGAAACTTGGGTGGCTTTCAGGCCAGAGGTACCAATCCAGGATCTCCCCGTTGATAAAGCGGAATGGAGATGAAAGATTCCAACAAGAAACGGAAGACCCAGATACCGACACCTCCATACACTAGAAGTTAAAGCGACCTACCGGATGCTCAGGACGAGAATAAAATTAAGGGATCGCATCATTGATCGCTGGGCACAACACCTCAATGTACCTACGGAATCCCTGAGACCCATAAAATGGTTCATAGAGGTGAAGGGCAAACCAGCCAAATCGGCCTCGCTTCAATGGCAGATTAACCACCGCTGCCTTCCGACGAAGGCATGGCTCATTGACCACACTCACTTGGAGCAGAAAGGGATGACTCTCCCCTGGTGCCATGCATGCAAGGAGGGCTTCCCCTCTCGGAAAATAAACGAAACGATAGAACACCTCTTTCTGCAGTGCCCTGCCTCTATTCTTACATGGCGGGGATGGGTCCGGGTCTGGATCCAATTAGGCACAGATAGCGATTGGCCATGGGAATGGAGGGCCCTGCTAACAGGTCACTGGACTGCCCAATCCTCGAACTTTACGACAAATTTATTTAGGATAGGGAGGGAAGCTGTGCTATGGGCCATATGGCGTCGCCGATGCATTCCAGTTCTCGATAATGCACACGTGAGCAGCGGCGAAACAACGGAAATGAGTAAAGACATGATAGAAACAACAATTAGAGCTCGCTGGGAAAAGATGATGCAAGGGATGAGAGCTCTCACAAAAAGAGCAGACATTACTCAAAGGTTAAACAAATTCTGCATGGACTGGCTGGGGGGGGAACAGGGAGGAAGGATTGCATGGGTCCAATGGGATGACTGGCTCTTGGATGGCAATGATCGCCTAGACAAAGCGCAGAAGGATTATCGATTGTTCTTTCATAAGTGGACTGAAATCCCCAGCAACATCCCACTTCCCCCCGGTTTCTGAGTTTCCTGACCTTTTTCCCCCTTCACACAATACTGTAGTCAAGCTTAGCTGGTATGGCTGAGATGAGGAGCCCATCCAGCAAAATCCTGGTGGGACTCGTCAGGATGGAGGACGGGAATAGGAGGATTAGGTCTCTGCCCCGGTCGCCCCCTGGACGCAGAACTGGCCTCCCTATCCCCCCCTCACACCTGGCCAGCCCACCCATGATCAGACTGGAAAGTTACCCCCATATCTACAGTATTTGTTGACAAAAAGGGTGTGGGACCAGTATGTAGAAGGATATTTGGCACAGGATTCAAGGTGAAGAGGCCCCCCACCCCAGTGCCCTGCTCAGTCAATCCCCTGGGTCCCAGGGTAATCAATGCTGGCAGGGCCCCGTAACAGTGTACTAAGAGTTACTTCAAGTTCAGTCTGTAGAAGGGACGCTGGACCTGGTTTCCAGCAGGTGATGCTCCCCACCAATAGATGGAGCCTCCCCCCAAGTGCTAGTGGTGTCTGCTCTTACCAGCACCACTAGCACTGGCGGGTGCTTTTAAACAAAAAAAAAAAAAAAAAGAAAAAAAAAAGGAGACCGGCAAGGGGCATCAAGCGGTATTCCATGTATCTTCGTAATCTACAGTCTCATGAGCAAGCAATCACTGCCCTAGATGCCAGCTGAAACTGCCGCTGGTACATGCAGAGGCTACAGACTAGACAGCTTGCAACGGGTGGCCTACTTGGAAAGTAAAGGTGGTGCCAACTACTGACTGTCAGACTGCAATCACAGGCTGGTGCTGGCATTTGTTTTGAAGCGGCAATCTCCAGTAAGGTTTGGGGCATCGAGCCTGGGGCGAAACTGAGGTTTGACAAAATAGGCTCGGAAGCAGTGCCCGTTTACTCCGTACCAGTGGAACCGGCTCTGTTGACTGGCTGAAGAATTTTGGTCCTGTTCGAAGTGATGGCCGTCAGGAAAATGAAAGTAGTTCACGAAAAGTCTCAAAAGAAAGAAAAGGGAAAAAAAAGAGAAAAAGAGAAATGAAGTCCAGTTGATCTAGCTCAGTGGTTAGAGCGGGTTCAAATCCGCAGCCTCACGCATGGACACCAGTAGGACGTTAGAATGACGCACGGCTGGACACACACCCCCTGGGCTGACGCATGGTGAGCTATTACAGACACTGCCTGCGCACCACCGAAGGGTTGTTCATGGTGTTGTATGTGGCGTCCTGGCCTATGAGGGGTTTGCCTGATACAGTTAGCGGTCTGATGGGGTTGCAGCTAGGGGTTTGTGGTTAGACTGCTCATGTGTGTTGGTTACCTTAGGTGGGATGGGGTCCCGTTTTGGGGGAGGGTTGGCTTGGGACAATCTCTGCTGGAGGATATCGGTGGGCAACCTACAGTAGGGGATTGTCTTAAGGGATCCTGGTAGGAGGGGTGCTAGTAGACAGCCTCTGGTGGAGGAAATCATTGGGGAACCTGCAATTCGCAGGCAGGAGGCTGCACTTGTGTGGGTTCCATTTTCGTCATTTCATTTCTTTCTGTTTTCGGTAAGGTCGTGCAGTACAACTTCGCTAGGACGGGTTTGTTTGGGGTCTCCGACAGCAGAAAATAGGGTCCGGTCGCAGTCGTCCTAAGACTGGTCATAGGACAGGTTATCTTGTCAAGGTCGTTGCAATTTAGTATAGGGCGCCGTCCATTGTTTCCCTTTTGAGGGATATAGTTTTTTTCCCGTTGCAAACTGGGGGCGGGCGGTATGGGTCTGGGCGGGCGATTTGGATCTGGGTCGTTTTCGCTTTTGTTTTTTTTTTCTCTTCTATTGCATCTTCCCAGAAATACAGTATCGAAGCATTCTGCTGTTTACTACGCCCAAGTAACAAATCTAGAACGGACTGCCCTGCCTCGTTGGCAGGGCTTACTAAGAAAAAGAAAAAGGAAAAAAAAAAATGTATTGACTTTCGAAGGAAAAAAAGGAAGAAAAAATGCACTTACCTTTGCTCCGAGAGCTGTGGAGATCGAGGGCCTTGTTCCACTACTGACCAAATGTGCAACATGAGCATGAATCTTCTGGTAGAACACAGGTAGATACACTGCTAGTAGTTTAGAGCTTGAAATGCCCTTTTTCCTGGCGGCGTGTGGGGTGGTACAGCCCTCAGTAGCTTGCTATTCGTTTTTCAGTTTTTTTTTGTTTTTTTCCCCCTCCTGCGATAGAAGAATCTGGGCTCCATCCAGCATCCTAGCTCAATTGCTTAGGCACACAAGTGGCATTCAGGAGGTTGTGGGTTCAATCCCCGGGCCGCCTGTGGCACTCTTGGTACCATCCAACTGAGATAGTGAGCTGGATCCTCCCAGTCGGTATCAGTAAGGTCTTCAGCCTACACGGGTGTGAGTGCGCGTGTGAGTGGGTTGTGTGTGGTGCGTGGGAGAGTGTTGGCTTTGGACACTACCATCCAGAAGGCTGCCCATCCCCCACTTCATAAGACCTTTGACAAGCTTAGTGTCTAGAACATAAAGCATGCTACCCGAATGGCTGCGTCCCCGCGTTTGACGCGGTATAACAGTAGGGCTGTCTGAGCGGGATCCTCCAAGATAGGATGGTCTGCGCCCCATAAATTAGTTGATGACTGTAGATAGGTACCTGTCGTGGGTCCCGAAACCGACCTCTACAGCACCCTGGACTTAAAAAAAAAAAAAGAAAAAAAAAAGACAAAGACAAATATGTTAAGTATCATGTTGGGACCCTTGGACAGTTATTCAACCCCGCCTTTTTTCTGGACAGTTGTTGAACCCATACTTCTGCATTTCCATATTTTGTACTGCCTGGATGTTGGCCAGGTTGACGAATGGGAATACGATCTTGTATTGAGGACGGACATCAACACCAATGGACACACACAATGGTTCTATTTCTCTATCACGAACATGAAGTGCAATGTCACGTAAGTTTGTGCGGCCCATATGTAACCCAATCCCCTAAGAAAAAAGTAAGTTGGTGTGACCCGACAATTCAACAATGTTTGGCTTCCTTTTTTGTGGTTAAACCACCAGTTCACACAAACCCAAGTAGTGCTCTCACCGGTATCCACAGTGAGAGCATTTTGATTCGGCCTCGGGCCAGTAGCGAAACGGGGAGGCCACTTCGGAAAGATACAGTAGCAGGCTCTCGAGTCTTGGAGGGTAGCTTCGTCAGCTGAGGCTCACGTGAACTGCAGGCTTAAGGCAGGAGATGGGAGTTCGGGGTGGGTGCTATGTGACCAGGCCTGGTATACAAGCACACACACACGCACTCGCACAGGCTGTTTCAATTTTGGATCTTCTCTTCTGGGTGGAAGAGGGGTTGTTATGGTGACAGTCAAAGGAAACCAGGATTAAGGTGGATCGTCACTCACAATATCATTTTTTGGTTAGGGGAGGAGTCCGTAAACCGTAGGGAGCTTAATCTCCTGATGAGTTGGTGAAACTCCAACGAAACAGTCTGACATAGCCCTGATTTTCTTGTCTTTTCCTGCTTTTCTGCCTACAGTGTTCCCAGGCAGTTCTCTATGGCGATATACAGCGCCTCGTTTGTTGTCCTCTTGTTCTCTATGACGATACATATGTCGAATGGGACCTCATGCCGGGCTGAAATCTGACTCTGATGCTGTACGGGGATGAAGCGAGCTGCAATAATTGGCTTTCGTGGGCATGCTGTTCTGGGTGCTCAACAATATGCTTTCACTCATTGCCTCATTGAGGATTATCGTTCATGGTGCCTCTCCAAAATTGTTATGGCCTTGAGTGGAAAGAAACTACAGCACCACATGGCTCCCGTACCTTCTTAGTTATGCCGGTACGAATTCGCTCCAATGGCTTGCTTCGCATGAGGACCTTTGATACATCGGCTGCCTTGGACTCCCTTGTCATCTGTTATCCAAGTGCAACCGCCAACATCCCTTCCCGTCAACTGGCTGGTGTGTTCAATGGGCAATGGACCAGATTTGAAGAAATCTGTGAAAATGGGTGAGACTGCCAAACTGCGGCAACAACACTGACTCACCTCATTCTTCTCGTGGGCATCACCCATCAACCCTTGCTAAGGGCTGTACCTCCTTTATGCCCTCCCAGAAGCACTCCTATCCTATGCATGTGACCTGTCTCTCGTTCTGATGCATGTTGGGACGGTCCCTGCATCATCCACTTTCTTCCTTGCCCTTAAAGCACAAGTACACCACATATCGGCCCGCGGGTGTCAGCACGCAACCCGCATCACTTCGGAGGCCGCCGGTTTTTTTTTTCAACGGCGGCCCGCGGGTGTCAGCACGAAACCCGCACCACTTCGGAGGCCGCCGGCTTTCTTTTTCAACGGCGGGCCTGGCCACGCGGTTCCTCCGAGTTTTGCTTGTGGCGACAAAAACTTTCTGCAAGGCTGGGGCTGTGTACTAGCGGTTTAACGAACTTCTCATCCCACTCATGCCTCTGCTTGCTCATTTGCTATTGATAGACCTGTGGTTTGAACTGCTGCACTATCCTCTGCTGCATTTTTCACTGCAGCTGTTTCCGGTGCATGTTACAATGATCCCTGCATCATCCACTTTCTTCCTTCCCCTTGACGAACCTCCCGTATCGCTCATGCCACTGCTTGCTGATCTGTTATTGATAGACCTGTGGTTTGAACAGTTGCAGTCTCCTCCGCTGCAGTTTTCAGTGCAGCTGTTTCCGCTGCTGCAGTTTCCTTTGCTGCAGTTCCCACTGCTACAGCTCCCTCTTCTGCAGTCTTGATGCAGAGAACACCACAGCCTCTTCGATGCTCATGTCATTTATTTCAAACTCTTACCCAACCAATCCCCCTGTCCTCTCTCTCAGTGCTTGCCCACAGACGGCTGTGCTCCACCTCACGCCCTCCATCTCCGTTAGGGTCTCGCTTGCGAACAGACTCTCCTGTTCCCACTGTTCCGTCTTCATTACCAGAGACATGCTCATCTTCAGTTCACCATGCTATGACTGCTCTCATTGTGTTGTCCATGGCGTGCACCTTGTCATTGCTCATGCAGGAATCAGCAGACTGCCTCTTTGTTTGCCCCTACTTTCTCTGTGCTTGCTCCATAGGTTGTTGTTGTTTCCTTTGTCCAGACGGCAATAATCGCTCCTTTGTCCTTCTCCGGATAGTTCATCTTCCGGAGAACAGATACATGAAGCCAGTCCCAGTCCAGAGCATACATTACTGTCCACGTCTCAAGCAGGACAGTCACAAGACAATGTTTCATGCGGTACAACATTGTAGATTCAGGGGTCACCTGCAGAGAAGGATACCGTCCCTACTCAAGCGGCAGTCCGTATGGGGGCTTGGGGCTACCAGACCGTAATGGCTGGCAACATCAGTGAAAAAAGAATTAAAAAAAGAGTGTGCGGCTGTGCTGGGCGTTGATTGGGGAACGGATCTGTGCGGAGTCCCGCCTTGATGCCGCTTGCTTTGTCACCAGTTGCCCTCCTCGGGAAACTGATCTCGGCTTGTGATCTTTTCCCTTTTAGCCATCTCATTTCTGTAAGGGGATTTGCCATCGCTCTTTCCTCACTTTGATGGGCATGCTTAAGTCCTCCGTCGTGGCAGTTGTGCTGAGAATGCTCAGCTAGGTCTTCCATGACATCATACATGGCATCCCTACAGTGCATATTCTCTCTGTCGTCAAGGACAGACTGACTCATGAGTCTTTCCTTATCCTTCCACATGCATTCATCGGCATTCCACACTGCTTACTCTCCCTTTGTCTTCTTTCTCCCCTCTTCCCTTACTGCCTCTTTTTCGCGTCGTGCAAGTGGGCCGTTATTGCACATGGGGTTTTCAGCGGCTCATGCTCGACTACATCAACTTGGGAGCCTTCTATGTGAGAGGCAAAGTAAAGGGGGAGCTAAAATAAGAAATAAGAGAGAAACTACAAAACAAAGAAAAGAACTTGAAAAACTGTGCAGCAAAAGCAAAAAGAATGGTTCACAGCATGCAAGCGGGCCGTTATTGCACATGAGGTTGTCGGCGGCTCATGCTCAACTACGTCGACTTGGGAGCCTTCTAACAGAGGAAATTCAAATTCTCTAAATGACACCAAATTTGGCATACAGCAACCTTGAACCAAAACAAGAACAGGCCAAAAAAAAAAAACATAAAATTTGACCCCAAAACCGTAATTTCAGTTTTGGACCCGTTACCCAGGGCCTGAAACTGGGGGTCCCCGTTCACCACAGAAGGTTCAACTCGTCCAAATGTACCTGGCCCAGAACGTGTCCAAATGCATGTAAAGTGTTGTGTACTGGAGCGAGACCAATTGTCACAATTGTATCCACTAAAAGAGCACATGTTGCAAAACAAACAAAGAAAATAGCAGACAATGGGCCACCATTCTTTTTTTTGTTTTTTTGCAAAAATTACAAAGCTTTATTATGCTGGGAAGTGGTCCCGGCATCCCTCACAAAGTTCACCGCAGCACTCAGGCTGAGCAAGGCTTTCCGGCCAAGCAAAGCCCGGCTGAAATCATTCTCTTATTTCTTATTTTAGCTCCCCCTTTACTTTGCCTTGCGGTTCAGAAAGCATCCAAATTGATGAAGTGTTGTAGAGTGGAGCCAAGACCAATACGTATACATATACGCAGCCCCTCGTTTGTTGTCCTCGTCTTCTTCTTCTTCACACCTCACGTCATCAGTATAAGATGCACAGGGAGGTCTCTTCCATGCATGAACCCCTCCCTGCTCAGTGTGAGCTCAGATCTGTGTGGCTGCTTGAGCGGTCTTCCGCTCCCCCATGTTGATATTTCTTGGACTGACTTAGCATTGCCGATGGTTCACCTGGTGATGGATAATGAAACCATTTTATGAAACCACATCTTGAGCGACGACAAAGTGGCACCAAGAGCAGTGTCTGGTTGCACATGATCTGGCTTCACATTTGGACCATGTATGTGGAACCAGTGGGCCAGGTAAGTGGTTCAATATTGTCTGTGGGACCAATAGGGTAGGTAACCGGTTCCACATTGGGGCAGGTAGGCACCTGGTTCCACATTGGGGCCAAGCTTTTGGAACCGGTGGGGTAGGTATGTAGCTGGTTCCATATTGGGTTCATGTTTTTGGAACAGGTGTGGCAGGTACATGGCAGGTCCTGCATTCGGACTCCTAGGTGCCAATTGGAGAGGAAGGTCGGTGGTCCCACCTCGGGAACATATTGTAAATACACAAGAAGTGCCAAGATCAACCCTCTGGGAATTGAACCTACGACCTTCCACCAAAGAGGCGGAACACTTAACCAATAGGAAAAGTGAGTGAGCTGGGATGAAAGTGAAGCCCCTTGAGGGACATGTCACCCCCACCCGAGCATGGAGTACATCCATGAGCTGGTGTACACAGACTGTACTCAATCGGAACCAATGGAAAAGTGAAGCCCCTTTCGGCACCGGTTCGAACTGTAGGATAGTACAAACAGATTATTGCCTCCGCATCGGAACCAATGTTTGTTTGGAACAACTGGGGTAGGTAGGGAACCAACTCCCTCCGGATTGGGAAGATGGCAAGGTGTTTGTGGAACCAAGGGGTAGACAGGTAAATGGCTCCACTCTGGAACCATGGTTGTGTGTAACTGGGGGGACAGGTCAATGGTCCCATGTTGGGAGGATGTCTTTTTTTTTTTTTTTTTGAAATTGGAAGGATGTCATTTGACTGTCTACAAGTGGTAGTTATATTCCTACATTTTTTAATGAAAGAGGATGCTGGATCAAGGGATTGGGGGAGTGGAGGCAACTGTGTTGTCATCATTGTACTCAATAGGGTCAACTTGTTGGCCACACTGCAAGTCTCATTATGTGCATGTGGATTTGCTTCCTGCTCGTCGCGCCTCCCCCCCCCCTCCCGTGACGACAGATATCGGTTCAACATCATTAACCTGATGAAGCCAAAGAGTCTGTACCAGCAGGGGATGCAGCTGCTGATGTACTCAGAGAGAGAGGCGCTGGAAACGAGAAAGGGATGGCGGCGAGTGGGCCAGAACATTTGTTACTATCAGGTTTGAGAAAATGAAAAATCCAACCCGTCTTGATCTTCTTCATCTTCTTCCTCTTCTTGTCTTCTATTCCCCCTCCTCCTTCAGTATCTTCCCGCGCCCCCCTCTCTATGTAGGAATCGTTGCTGTTGTTGTTTGCTTCAGAACGAAGTTGATGCGAGGGTTTATGCCTCGGCATAGGGCCCTGCAGCAGGCGCGTGCCCGCCCTAAGTGAAGGCGGGCCCCCTGAATCTCAATGCGCCCTGAACTCATCAATTTTTGCAAATCTTGGTCGGCGCCAGACAGTTGCCACGCACCAGTTGGTTACATCCGCCTTGCTTGTGAGAATTCAAAATATTTGTGAGCCTTGCGGGCCCTTCCAGCAACGTGGTGGAAGCAGTGAGCATGGCACGTTTGTGCCTGGTTGGTTGGGCAGGCTTAACCGATTCGGTCCCAGGCCACTGTCTGAACGGGTCTGGGCGCGCAGACACTTTGGCCGAGTTTGAAGCTGCTGGAAACTCGGTCTCATGTGAGGAAAGGGCAGGGCTCAGGGCGGGGCATTCAGGCACTCGCGTGTAGATGCGGCAGCACTGCTGGAGCAAGCGCTCCCGGGCTGCTGCGCCAGCGCTGAGGTGCGTGCACGTGCGGACGAGCAGGGTGCAGGGCGCTACTGAAGGCAGCGCCATAGCCACCCCCCATACCTGGGCATGGCTTGGACGTAGCCAGTGGAGGTGGTGGTGGTCTTCTTGTATAAGGGAGAAGACATGGGTGAGAAAGACGAGGGTGAGAGAGAAAGATGAGGTTGATGATGTGAGGGCGCGTACCTGGTCTTGGCGATGTACGAGGGTCGACATCTTCATGTACTGCTGACGTCAACTCGATGCATTGTCAATTCGTAGGCTGCTAGTAGGCTGTGTGATAGTAGTCTGGGCGCTGAGCGTCAAGTAGGAGGAAGGACTCTGGATACATATGTCGGTGGTGGCGAGAGTTTGCTGTCATTGACATTCGGATTCAGTGCTTTAGTTCTCCATTGGTGGAATATCAGTGCATTTCTGCCTTCCGGACAGCCTTGCTCTTGCTGGCTTTCAATGTGAATTTGCATTCTGCACTTCTGTCATTTTGCTCTCTCTCATTTTCCTTGCATTAAACCACCAGTACCTCTGCCAGTGTTGGGAAATTACAATGTACTGGTCTGTCCACGAAGAAATCGGTGGTGGGACCCAGGGTCGGCGAGTCCCATAAATCTTATTTTTCTTTTGCCCGCGCGTGAAAGGAAAAGGGAAAAAGAAAACAGAGGAGAAGGAAGTCGTAAACCCAAAAAACAAAAAAAAGAAACCCTTACTCTGGCCCATTGGTGGGGAGCTGATCTTACTGTAGCGGACACTGGACACCAAGTCTACTGTTTACTCAAATACTACTCATGCCACCCATCCTCTTATCGCATGTCTGCTCTATAGAGAGGAGTGGGGAGGGAGAAAAAACAACTCTTACTCTGGCCCATTGGTGGGGAGCTGATCTTAGTGTAGTTGACAACTTGACAGCCAGTGTGTTTACTCAAATACTTTTTTTTTTTTTTTGAAAGCCCTCTTGCAAGGCCTCTATCCCGGCGGTGGTAAGAGAACTTCCAGCATTGAGGCTTTGGCTGTTGGGCTGCTCCATCTATTGGTGAGGAGCTGGAAACCGGTCCAGCATCCCTTCGGATACATCAATTAGGTGCAATTTTGGGGCTGTAGCCCTTGGTGTTTCTAATCTGAGGCACCCTCAATCCCGTGGAGCTGCTAATGGACCCTTTCCCTTTCTGAGGCGCCTAAACATTCTGGCACAGCCCTTCCGCTGCCCCCCTGTGTCACTGGTAGCCGCGTGTCAGCGGGGACCACCTGGGTGTGATGGTCTTAAACCCTTCTAAAACCCTCCAGCCTTGCGCCATTGTGTTTCTCGGGCTGCCCAATTCTTCCAGACTAGAACTCCGTTCTCCTTCAGATCTGCCATCTTGCGGTTCGGGTCAAGCCAGATTTCTTTGAAGGCTTCAGTGATTTGTTCTTTCTGCAGTTGGTCTGGAATCGTGGCCAGGTCCACTTTAAGCTTTGTGTTGGGCTTTGTTATGTTTACTCTCATTTCCAGTATCTCTTCCTTGGCCAAAGGTGTGTTCTTTGTATGCTGACAAGCACCTCATCCTCCATATGACCATGAGGAATAGGTTGTGGTGGAATCACGACCAGGACCGCGGGGCCTTTTTGTAGTTGCCTAGTAAGATGAGCCCCACATCCCAGTGGAAGGGGTTGTTCGTGAGTTCGATCCAGAGCGCGTCCCACCATCTCCATACCTGGATGGCCATCGGGCATGCTAGCCAAAGAACACTGCTCGAGGTCGGCTTTTCGACGCGACGTCGAGTGTCTGCAGTAAGAGCAGATCGGGGACAGGATTCCCGCTTGTTTTAGAATGGACCTGGAAGTTATCCAATCTGGGGTTGGGAGGCAGCGGTGCACGATTTGCCACTGGAGGGCCCGATGCGAGGTTGGCATTATGTGCGCATATGTGGACCACAGGATGTTTGAAAGGTCTTCCAGTGGTACT